GATCTAAACTTGTCTGGGACAAATATGGACAGAATAAGTCAAATTTGGATTTTGAGTAATTTGAACTTGGGTTTTATCCTCACTAAAATACTGAGAAGAATGAAGGTACCTAGCTCTAGGGAAGAGAGTTCTTGAGAGAAACTTAAGTTCTTGAGAGAAAAATAATTTAATTGCTGCATTGTAAGGAAAGTTCTTTAGGGCAGTATTTAATGTATTTTTAATGCAAATATATGATAATTGATGTCAGACTTTCAAATACCTTTGTATATTTTCTGGATCAATTGCAACCTGAAAACTGAAAATCCGCAGGAATGAACAGTGCTCTTTGCCCATCTGGTTTTATATCAGGTGCCCATGCTCTGTTTTCCCTCCATGGCAGCACAAGTCACACAGTTTATAAGGAGATTCAAGTGGGAACATGTTCCACCAATTTTTACCGAAATCGTGTCTGTGGTATGGCAAACCCATTGCCCCTGTAAGAAAACATGTAGTAGTCTGCAGGAGAAATCACCCTGCCAGACTGTGTCTTTAATAGCAAGTTTTGCTGCCAGAACTTTTGTGGGGCCATGAGTTGCAGACATTTTTATGTCCCTGGAGCATGTGCGTTCACCATGGCTTTTTGGAGATGCTGTGTGCCCTCCCTGCAAGAGGCTGTAACAGCAGAGGGGCTTGCAGTTGCCAGGAGCACAAATACAGTGGCATTTTGCTGCTGGCCATTTTGGCTGGTGTTATTCAGAGAGGAGACTTCACTTTGGCAGGAAAAGGCTCATTTTGTTGGCTTGTATCAGCTTTTGTTGGCTTATATCAGCAATGCAGAGAAACTTGAGGCAACTAAGGCTGACCTCTGACTGGGAACCTGCACTGCACTGGCCAGGCTGCAGCTACGACGTGTCCCAAGCAAGGACCCCCTACCACCAAGCCACTGCTGGCAGATGTTCTCGCCTGATGATCTGATCTTGATACCTGAAACAAGCCAAGTCTCTGACACAGCAGCAGAAAAGCAAACAGACCTGTGTAGAAAAATACTTGTTTTGAGGTGCTTTCTATTTTTCTTTCACAATGTCCCTGCATTTTTTCCCCATTCTGTGCATTACTAGGATATATTTATTTGCTGCTAGGCTGCATAAATGGAGACATATAAGTCAGGATCAATCTTAAGAATTTTCTTTCTTCTACAAAGAACTAAAGAAAAATTATTATTTGAAATTTATGAGTAAGTTATTGTTATTTTCAAATCCTTTAACTGGAAAAAAAAAGAGGAAATAAAAGCTGAAGTTTGCATTAATTAGCAGTCCATTTTTACCTGCCTACAGTGTAAAGCAATAGAGAAAAACTTTAAATGAAGAAAACATCTTGTAGTGATACTAAAATCCATTGTGGACTTAGAGGAGACATTTGGGAGACTGAGTCAAAAAAATAAAAAATGCTATGCTAAAGTAAATAAATGTAATAAAATGATAATTGAGAGCATACCCCTAAACAAGGATAACTGGTATATTGGTAATTCTTCAGTCTGGTACAGTGTGCTCCCACTTCAAACACCTTTTCTATTTGGTCCTGTGCTGGCAGCTTTTCAAAGGAATCTCATACTTTCTTCCCTCCCCCTCCCTACTTTGCATAATAATTAGTATGTGAATATGCTTGTGATTTCTTCTTATTATTTTAATACAGTCACATTTTAGAGACTTCAATAAGTTTGGAGGACAACCAAAGCAGTTCTTGCTCCAAAAGCCATGCAGTCTAAATGGAGTGGAAAACCAAAGTACAGCAAGGTAGCATCATGTCACTTCCCCTTCTTTGCAAGGAGAGACCTTGTACCAAGCAATTTCCATCAGAAGAGATTCAGGAGCCACTCAGGCAGTGAGTGTTTTGTGCCTAACAGCACACTCCACCAGTTGCTTCACATGATGTATAATAGGAGGTGAAAAAATCCAACAGTAAGTAGTGTCTTATGTCCTCATTTTAGGTTGAATTCCCCTTTTCAGGAGCTAGGTACCAACTTATTTCTTGAAGCACCAAGTTACAATCAGATAATTCTGGTTATTATTGATATTCATATAGATCCAATCTCTTTCTTTAATAATAAGTTCTTGACTCTGACACTGTTTCTACCAGTATAATCACAGCAGTCTTGTAAAGATGCATCCCTACAGAAACCTTCAAGCACTCGACAGTTTTTATGAGTTCCAGAGTATGCAAGATGGATGACAAAGATGATTTCTGGATGGTGGGGCTGGGATTTTCCCCAGCATGGTAGCCTATAAAGTTTGTGAAACTGATCACAAGACTCCTCAGCTCCAGCCTCTCCCAGATTTAGAATTACAGTCCTGAGTAGGGAAAACCAAGCAATCTGAAAGTCCTGAGCTTGTAAACAAATCTAGGTATTTAGTGAATAATGCAAAATAGAGAAAATCACTAAGAGGTGAGTATAAGGGAAATACCTTTCCCGAGGCTAAATGGGTATTGATGTGTTTCAAACCTGTAAACAGATTTGTGCATGTTGCTGGCTGAAGAGGGGTGGAGCTCTAGGTTTTGCTGTTATGCCTCTTAACTTGCTTTTGTCACTCCTCTGGCAAGGACAGCAGAAGACTAAAGCAGTGAGTTCTCTACCCTTTGACCTGGGATTAATGACAGCTACACCAAGATATCTCCATCCTTCTGACTATTTGATGAAGGAGAAAAAAGAGACGGCCTGATTCTCAGCTTCTTGGTATAGAAGGATTAACAAAGGAAGCTAATTAAGAAAAAAATAATGGGAAACCAGTTGGGTGAAGTGATTTAATTTCTAAGGGAGCAAATGAAAAGAAATCACTCTCATGAATCAACGAAAATCCTAAACTTATATACTGCAAGTACAGTTTTACATGAGCTTGTTCATGAAGACATGTCCTACGTTCCCTCTTGCTGAAAGTGAAAAGGAAGGCTGTACATTGGCAGTTACGTTCAAGGGTGTTTCAGCCAGACTTTGAGGATAGAATAATTTCTTGCATGACTTTCAGTGACATATTTATCACATAAAATCTCTTTCCAGAGGTACAGTACTAGATGGATGCTTACAGCTTATAGGGTACTATATGTAAAGAATATCCAGAATGTGCAGCAAAGAAGGAGCCAGACAGGAAAATATCTGACAGCCTTTTCCTTGTGTAACATTTTTGTTGAAGCAGTTGTTTAATTTCCCTCAATGGAACAGGACTCTTCAGGACTGTGGCAGTTTGAGAAATATGTTGTTTCGGCCCACCAGCGTGCTCCCTGATCTGTATTGCAGAGGACAAAGTTCCAGCTGCAAAAACATACTGTTCAGATGCTGTACTGAAAAATACAAGTGAAAAAACACAAATGAGTCATCTCAAATGCAGAGGTGGAGGAGTGAGGTTGGCAGGAACAGCCATTATCTTACAATAATGTTTTTCAAACCCCTCCTCAAGGTACACACCCATGAAGCTCATTAGTATAACAGTCATTTCACTGAGGCAGAAAGTTCATTAATATTGGAATACGGTGTTGAATATTAGAGGGAAATTCTTCAATGTCTTCCTGCTACAGCAGCTTTTTGGAAATGCACCAAGGGCTTTGATCCTAAAACCCTTACCTCTAAGCACCTGGGTAGTCCCATTGACTTAAACAGAATAAAATGAGAGCTTTAATTCAAGTGTTTGCAGATTAAGACCCATGTTTGTATTTTAAGATCTTATCTACAGAAGAAATTGCACTCATTTACCTAAGTGTTTTATAAACACACCTTTATTTAAATGAGTGCAATGTTACTTCTGCAGGCAGCCACCATCGAAGGAGCAGGGGCCCTGCCTCAGTTCCCAGGAGCATGAAGGCAGGAAAGGCTCTTAGATGTGTTATAAATGAGAAGCTTGACTAGGCCAACATTCAAGCAGCAATCAATTTATTAATTAATATGGTAAAGTATGAGCAATACAGCGCTGGGTACAGTGGGGGAAATTTTCCCTCCAACTGCACACCGATAGTTGGGGCTTACAGATATTTATAGGGGTACTCATAAGCTTTCTCAGCAGTTTCTATTCCCATTTTTTGCGTCATAATTCTACACACTATTGTGATTTAGTTTTTGTCAGGATGTATCTCAGAAAGGAGTATCCCCAGATGATGGGGTCCGGCTTCTGAAAGAATAAAGAAGTCTCCCAGCTGGTGAGATCCAGAGTCCACATGCAGGTTCACATTTTAATTGCAAGGACTATAAATCTCATAACAGTGATGTCCAGTTTCCCTTGGTCAAAACTATCAATCCGAAAGAAAGTTCCTGTCAAACAGCAATAACCCTAAAGCTTTAATTTGAATGCTCCTAAATCAACTTAAGACTTATAAAGGTTAATTGCAAACAAAGGATAGGTTCAAAGGCCTTCTTCCATGCTTTACTTTCTCAGTTATTAGAATTGTCTTGTAACTGTTCCATGGTCAGTTTCCACACATAACACAATCACAGACACACACGTTGCCTGTATGTAACTGACACGAAGCACAGCTTTGTATTTCACAGCTGGAAAACATCAATGAACTACACAAGCAAGAACTGCCATGCTCTGAAATACTCAGAAGGATGCTGCCACTGTGCACCCAGCAGGAAAGGCTTCTCATGCTTCATCCATTTTGCACGTGCCCTTGCACCACTATCACACATTCCCTATAAAAATGCAATCATAGAATCATCACAGCATCACAGAATGGTTTGGGTTGGAAGAGACCTTGAAAACTGTCTCATTCCAATCTCCTGCCACGGGTAAGGACACCTTCCAGTACATCACCCAGCGCCCCATCCCAGCTGGCGTTAAATATTCCAGGGATGGGTCATCCACAACTTCTTTGGGAGGCAGCTTCGTCCAACGCCTCCCCACCCTCGCAGCCCCTGGCAGGGAAGGTCTCAGTCCCCTGGAAAGCCCGGTGGTGACGGATGATGTTTCTCAGGCCCCAGGGCCGGGTGGCAGCGGCAGGGCCCAGCCCCCTGCCCTCGGCTCGGCAGCGCGGCCGCGGGGCCGGGGCCGGGGCCACCGGCGGCTCCCGGGCGGTCCGGGCTGTGCCGCCGCCGCCCGACCTGCACGGGGAAGGTGCGTGTTTGCGCTGCCCACCGCCTCATCCTCCTCCTTTTCCTCCTCCTCCTCCTCCTCCTCTTCCTCCGCACAGGGCGCCCGCCCGGGCTCCCGGCGCTCCTCCGCCGTGCTGCAGCGCTTTCTCGGGAGGCTTCTGCTCCGGAGGAGGGGCACCTCGCCGCCATTCGCGGCGCCCGGCTGGGCTCAGCCCGGCTCCTTGGGTTGCGTTAGAGCCGTGCAGCGTGTGCTGCCTTTCCCCACCGTGCAGTGGGGAAAAAAAATGGGGCCTTGGCCCGCTGGGCCGCAGCCCCGGTGCCGGGCCCTGCCCGGGTCGGTGCGCTGGAGCCCCAGCCTGGCAGCGGGGGTCGGCACCGCCTCGCTGTATCTGCTGAGCGCCCTTGCCTGGGGGTGACCGACACCGGCACGCTCCTACTTCAGGAGCATGGACGTTCCATCGCGTGACAACAGCGGAAAAGGATCTGGAGCCGCTTGTCTCCAGCTGGCTGAACATGAGCCAGCACTGAGCCCAGGTGGCCAAGAAGGCCAGTGGCATCCTGGCCTGTACCAGCAGTAGTGTGGCCAGCAGGAGCAGGGCAGGGATTGTGCCCCGGGTCTCTGCTTAGGGGGCACATCAAGTACTGCCTCCAGTTCTGGGCCCCTCAGCACAAGAAAGACATTGAGGAGCTGGGGCATGTCCAGAGAAGGACAGCAGAGCTGGAGAAGGGTCTGGAGCACAAGTACAGTGAGGAGAGGCTGAGGGAGCTGGGGGTGTTAATCCTGGAGAAAAGAAGGCTCATGGGGACCTTATCATTCTCTACAACTACCAGAAAGGCGATTGTAGCCACATGGGGTCAGGTTTTTTTCCCATGTAACAAGTAACAGGACAAGTGAACATAGCCTAAACTGTGTCAGGGGAGTGTTAAGTTGGATATTTGGTGGAATGTCACAGAAAGAGTGATTCAACATTGGAATGGACTGCCTAGGAAGAGGTGGAATCACCATCCCTGGAGATGTTTAAGGAAAGATGACGTGGCACTTTGTGCCAGGGTCTAGTTGATGTGGTGATGTTCAGTCAGAGACTGGACTCCCAAGACCTCAGAGGTCCTTTCCAGCCTAATTGATTTTGTGATTCTGTGAAACAAAATCCATGCTCACCCACTTGTTCCTCTTAATTTAAAACCAAATATGGACTCAAAGTTGGCAGTCACACAGTGCTTGGGGGATGCATAGTTAGTGTTAGGCAAAGCATGATGCTCTGCCATGATCCTGAGCAAAATGGACAGCAGTCACTGACAGAACAGCTAAAAATATATAAATATTTTGAAAATAATATATAAAAACATTTTTAAAAACATATAAAGAAACATGAAAAAAGATATAAGTTCTGTGGGCTGAATCAGATTTGACTAAGGAAGCATTAGATACAAAGGAACCTTTTGAATGTAGTGGTTATATCTGCCAAGTTGTACATGTGCTCAAAACTACAAAAGAACAAATTCAAGATACAAGCACAAGAATTCAATTTGTGTATTAATTACTTGTTTTTTCCCTCCAAATTGCAATATTTTGAGGACCTGACTTTCCTAAGTGCTGCGTGAGCACCAAAAGTACCTGCTCAGATAGTGCCATGCACAAAGGCGCCTAAAATCGTGATGTCTTGTTAAGTGAGCCTTAATTTTCAAAATTTTGCCTGTCTGTTGTTTTTGCTCCATTCAAAATGAGATTAGTTTTTACTAATTGTTTGTGGAGATAGTTCTCTAGAACTGTTGTAGGAGTGTTGTAATCTGTTGATTAAAAGGGAATGTGCGAGTGTTGCTTCTTACAAAGCAATACTTGGGATGGCTGTAGAGCAGACTTCCTGTGTAGAAATTGAATAACTGCTTGTATCTTCATCTATCTGTAATGTATCTCTGTAGTTTAGCTTGTGAAAATTCTTAAGATTTAAGTTAGGGTGACAAAAGCTGGCCTGGATTTTGTTCTGGGTAATTTGCAGGGATGAAAACTTTTATTAGAAGTCTTTCTCATGCTTACCTGTCAATTGTTAAAGTCACCTTCCAGTCTGATCTGCTGCTTCCTTCTGTTGGATTATTATTTTCAATAAAATCTCAAACACTTATTTCCTCAAAGAAACCCCACAAATCCTACCATGTGCATGAGAGTTCTAACATCCCTTGTTTCTTGGTAAATTTTGTCTAAGTCCCTTAGACATATCCACCCTATGTAGAATAGCATCTATTGTCCCTTGCAGTCAGTTTTGCTTTACTCAAACTTCTGTCTTTTAGATGAAGGCTGTGCAGATAAACTTGGATCACAGCCACCGCAGCTTTAGAGATTCATACAAAACCTTTGTCTTACCTGATCTTGTTTCTTGGTGTTTAAAATACATATAATTCTTTTGAACAGCAAAACAATAAGATACTGAATCAGATAAGAACAGATTGCAGATCTGGGCTGGAGAGGAACAACCTGTCATTGACCCCTGTTGGGAGACATCTGTTAGCAAATCTCATATAAATCTGTATTTGTTTTATAACACGATTTTGCAAATGCCTGCGTGTCTTTAATGCTGATTTGAGAAAGGAAGCAACTTACAATATCTTACTCTTGATATAATTGCAGAAACTCATAATGCGCATGGAAATCTCATCTGTTTCTGCTATATTGTATAAAACTTTCTTGTTTTAAGGTTGAAAACTTTGTCTTGTCATTTCTTCCTTTCTTCCCAATTGTGGGAGGATGAAGATGAAGGGTGGCAGTACATCTAAGAGGCAGCAGCTGCAGGGGTGAAATATTTTGCCTAAAGAAGTACTTTGTGGGTAGAAATGTACAAAACGATTACAATCTTGAAGCTCTACAGTTCTTTCTGTTCTGTCTCGACAAGAAATATTATCTGTCAGAAACTGCACTGCAGTAATCTTTCACTTTTTTGTTACCAAATGTCTGCAATAATCTCAAAGTAGTGAAATAAATGTAAATTCTTCCTTCAGCTGACCCCAAGTCACTTAAATTTTCACTGTGATGGCAGTAGTGAAATTTTAGCTCAGATTTGTAATCTCTTAAATGCCAATTACTCTATTAAGTCAGTATTTTTGCCAGAATCTTTGAAGAATGCTTTGCTCTTTTTTTTTGTGTCAGTTTTACAGTACAAGAGAAAATTCTGTGTGAGCTTGAGAAAAATGTTAACCTTGTTAGCCTGTAAAGAATGCTAGCCTTTTAAAAAATGGTAATTTGGGTACCTTGATCTTACAAGAGACTTGATTTCTGATATTGAGATAGAGAGAGTGGACCAATGGTGGGAAGTTTACTTTTAATTAATCTATCTATCTATCTATCTATCCATCTATCTACCTACCTATCTATTTGTTTTTTATTTAATGAAGACTATTCAGACACCTGGCTCATTTGGATTCTTTCTTTTTTTTTCTGTACTGGTATTAATAATAGTAATATTTTATCAGACTCTTTAGGACTAATTAACATAGGTCTCTTTTATGAATTTTCTCCACAGTGAAAAATATAGAAATCCCTTTGGTGCTGTTGCTGCCAAGACAGACATGATAGAAGTGTCTAGTGAACAGACGTGTAGATTAAAATACATCTCTAAGGAATTTTTGTATTTTGGCAAAGTGTTTCAGTGTACTACACAATCCAGTCAGAGGTATGGCAAGACTTGTGATCTTACAACCTGACTTTAAGAGAATACTAATGCTGTTTTATAAAAGAAAATATATCAGTCAAATTTATCTCCGTTCTCTAAGATAAATTTTAAATCAATGGTCATTATGTTATAGTAAGAGGAGATTAATCTCAGGTCACCTATCATAGACATTCCTTACATCATAGGAGTTATAAACAACTAAGATTATTTTAAACTTGCCTGAGTGACCATCTTGCATTCAGTACAACAGTGAGAGTTTCTACAGGCTCAGGATTTGCCCAAACCTGGTTTCTGACCCCACAGACTCATCATCTTGTCCAGCTGAAAATTGTTGTCACCCTTTTTAAAAAGCCTGTTTTAGAACTGATGTGAAAAAACGGTTCTGGGTTTAAATCTGTTGTTGTCTGTATGTTTGGGCTTTCTTCTTTCTTTTTCTCAAGTTGCTGGTTAAGGTGATTGATCTTTTACTTAAATGCAGTGAAATTACATTTCCTGCTTGAATACACTGTATGAAAGGGAATGAGACCACTCTTCTGTCCTCCCCAAACTTTCATCTGCTACATGTACATTGATACACTGTGCCTTTAATTTTTTTTTTAGGATTTTTTTCAGAGGAGGCACTTGACTATCAATTTAGCTAAGGCAAGTGAGTGAAAAGGAATTTTGTCTTTCAAGTAGCCCTACAAAAAGGGGCTTATATAATATTATGCATGTGCCAATAGTAATTTGAGAAAGAAATGTTCTTTTTTGAGGTCTTAAAATATGATCTGAGCCAATAGGCTCCATTGGGAAAGCATCCACTATTTTATCTGTAACATTTACAGACCAGAACTTAAATTTGATTTGTCTTAAATGGTTTCCCCTTCTACTCTGCACACGTTTTGAGATTAGTGTTTCTGATTCTGTTGGTTTATACTGTCCTGAATCACAAGGCTGATCTTCTGGTTCTCTCTCTGGTCATGTTCTCCTGTACAAAACACAAGTCCTCTTTTGTGGCAGACTATGAAACACTTCTTGGAGTTTTAGTTTAATGAAAATATATTACTTTGGAGCAGAAAGTATTGTAAGCTACTAATTTCTTTGAGATTGACCATATGATCAATCTTTAAGAATGATTCTGTATATTACTGAAGTGGGCTATTAATATTTTCTCCTATGACAGCTAGGGAAAGCAGACAAGTGCAATACTAATCTCAGGTAATCTGTTCAGTGCTGTTGAAAATACACAGAGCAGACAATTTCTGCCTCAGCAATGGACTGTGAGATACCCAAGAAGGAAAACAAAGCTTGGTTTTAATTACTTGTTCAGTTTAGTTGTCTTGAAATAGCCATTGAGTTAGGGATCTCTAGAGCATTTTCA